CACAGATATATGTTTTTATTTAAAGCCTGTTCTTTGTTTTCTTTCCCAACACCCCCACCCCTCCCCCAAGAGATGACTAAGAGTGCAAGTAATGAACAACTGTAAGTTCCGACACTTTGAAAAGTTAATTAATTTTTATTTCTACGACCATTGCAAATGTGGGCATACTCAGCAATAACTATCATTATCAATAGCATGGGGATTTATAATAAAATAACAATAACAGATGAAGCCCAGAGCGGTAGTTCCCCAGGTCTGCAAAAGCCCCCGTGCTTGGGTAGGGAGGGGCGGCGGGTGGCGGCGACAGTAGTTCAACGGTACTCCATAATATCTTCCCGAAGCGTAAAATCGAGTTCACATGAACACCCAGACTTGAGCTTAATGTAGTCCAAGCGAAAACTTTCCGAGACGTTGAAGTCCCTAACGAAGGCATACACGTAGCTGTATTTTTGCACACACCTGGAGACGTGCTGGAACTTGTGGTCCACCAGGGGGCACGGCTTGTTCAAAATTTCAGGTCTGCACGTCGTCTGGTAGAACTTCTGCACCGTGCGGTGGTCCCGGTAGATTTCTAGAAGCTTCCCATCGCGGGCCAGACCTCCGCGCGGGTGAATGAGGTGGGTCTCAGAGGCACAGCAGTCCATGCGGTACGTTACGTCCACACGCTCTAGATTCCGCTTCGAAACGTCGTGGGAATAGCTGGGGAGAGACATGAAAAACTTGCATTGTTACATGATATTTTGGGGATAACTTGGGTGATAAATAGAATATTGGAATGATAATATAACATCGCGAGAGTAAATTGGGAGATAAATAGGGAACGTGTGTGTTTTATAACATCTGGTGATAACTGAGGAGAAAAGAATGGGATATAAGTGGGAGAACAGTTGATCGGAGGGAAACATTAGACACGTTTTCATAAAATATAATGGAAGCATTGTTGATGCAAAAGAAGGCAGGACGTTGCCATATTGTGATGTCGGGAATTTCGCTGCGCTGACATTAAAAACAAGACCCGTGATGTCAGCTACTGGGATAAGCCCCACCAAAACGTTCGGATAATTATTCTATTGTGGGAATAGTTAATGGGATGAATAAAGACATACAGCTTCTACACATTGTCGTGTCAATAGCTTTGTTACCATAGCAGAAAACCAGTTGACATAAAACTGACATGGGAATGGGTGAAAAAATGTTGATAACACACGAACTCTTAAAGAAAAAAATTTAATCCTATCTTTCTTGAGTACAAAAAATATCGTCAAGTCGGGATCTTTTTAGATGAATAAAATGCGATTAAAAAAACTGATGATGTCTGCTACTTCAACAGCAGAGTACTTGACAAGTATTCACAGCAAAAGTGAAAGAAACAAGGATTGAGAGAGGCAGACTCTATACAACAATGGATTAAGCAGGCGTGCAAACTCTTTGGAATTTTTTTTTCTCCTTAAACCCATTGAAGAAAAACAGCTCTCTGAAATACCCCAACATCCCCTCCCCCCACCCCCACCCTGCCCCCCTTGCAAAAAATTTGAATCAGACTTTGCACTATACTAACCATTGAATACAAAAGATTAAAATTATTTAATGTCTGAGTCGTCACGTTTGACACCCAAAATCTGAGGGGGATATTTTTTAAAAATTATTTATAATATTTTTCTTGTTGGTTGATTTTGTTGTATTTTTCGCTATTGTAAAACAGTTTCTCAACATGGCCTTTACGTTAGCAACTAACCAAAGAATACATTCAGTGTCTCAAAATAACTAAGCTTATTATCAATTAATAATATAATTGTAATATCAGCTTGTAATACAAATTACTTAAAGCAGAGAAGAAAGTAAATCTCTGCAATACTTGGGTCTGTTTAAACCGAACACAGTAAATACGAAAATAGAAGCTAAAACCCGAAAGAAAATAAACCCTGATTGTTTTGTCCTTTTTCCCAGTGTTTGTCCAACATCTCTAATCTGAAAACCAAGCTAACCCGAAGATAAAACCGGCGGTCCCGCAGATTTCGGACACAAGGTTATTAAGTCTTAAACATTTTTATATTCAATATTGAATGTAACATGACATGATATCGTGACAAACGTCTATAAAAATACATGCATGGAAATGATAATGTAAGTGCTACCTCTATCAAATCATCGATTCATAGCACGAACATAAAAAGATAAAAGAGCGGTTAAAAAAAAATTAAAAAATACCATATTATCTTATATATATATGTATATACATGTATTGTTGGGCGAAAACAAGCAAAACACGAGACCTCCCTAGAACATTTTTTTCTGCAGTATCTTTCTTTTCTTTTTTAGATACTCAAATACGTGAAAAAACTATTGAGCCTGAGAGGAACTCCTCATATTCCTCATATTCAAACCTGGTGACTCTAAAGCATCAACTTGAAAGTCATTTATTCAGTGTTTTGCCTTTTCCTGTAACTAGGTTGAGTCAACTTGGCCTATTGGCAAGTGAAGGCATCTATATATTAATAATATTTTGGTTTTGATAGATAGATAGATAGATAGATAGATAGATAGATAGATAGATAGATAGATAG